CGAAATATAAAAGAACCAGAAGTCTTAAAAAATATATAACACATGAAGAATATTTTCAAATAATTTTCTTTTTGTTTCAGGAAACCTTTCAAACGTCAAAATATAGTGAAATAAAAAAAAAAAATCTTCTACACTATAAATATTATTATGAATTTAGTAAAAAAAATGCACCGTGAATATGATGGAAGGGTACTTTGTAAACATTATGTTGATACTTATATACCACTTTTAATAATATTGCTTTAATATTATTGACCCTATGAGGAGTCTTTAATTGGGAAAAAATGATATTTTTTAAGGAATTTTGAAGTACCTCGAATTAACAGGTTCTCCTTTAATACTCTGAATCTATAATATGGTATTAAAATTCGTATTAAAGCATTTATTGAGTGATAAGTTATGTTCATATACATCGTGACAGTATGAACAGTCATTAAGTAACAGAAATATACCTCTAAATATACTAAATTACATAACTACAAACAGTCCACAGCACGTTTTCGATTTGATTTAAAATTTACAATTTCCTTTCCTTGGTTTCGTTGAAACGGGACAAGACGGTTTACGATACGGTTCATAAGAAATCAATAGCCTGAAAAAACAAATTATTTTACCTTTCGTAGAGCGAGAGATTGTGAAAAGTAATTCAGATTCAGTACGCGTGTGCAGATGAAATAGTTGAACGTGACACACCCCTAATTGGCCACTACAGTGAACGGCTAACTGAATCATGTCCATTCTCTGCCATCATCATCCAATGTGATTTAATTGTAGTCGTCAGGAGTGCCCAGAAGGGGGTTTTATGGCGCATGTTGCGCCATCAAAATTAATGAGGGGGACCCTTTTGACGGGATTTTAAATTTTTGAGGGGGACAGAATCTGACGGGGTTACGAATTTTCAAAATGAAAAGTGCAAATCAAAAGATAAGTGAAATCATGAAACAGGCCACATGATGTGTAATGGTATATAATCTACGAATATTCAAATTGTACTTTCGTTTGCACTGTTTTTAAGAAGAAGAGGGAAATAAAATATCTTAGGAGAGTTGGGGGAAGGTTTAAGAAGAAGATGTGCGGGGATTAATAAATTCGGATGATAATTAAGCTTTTCACTGGGTTGTAGAAAAGGGAAAAGGGATAATATTCATATCATATCAGACCTTCATTGTCTTCAATGAAACATATGAGGCTGATGTGATACAATGGTGTGCTAAATCATAGTTCAGTATGGGCAGATTGATATTTATTTCTTACGAAACAAATCTCAACAATCCCACTCTGATTAGAATAAGTTTAGTTGTACCTTCAGAGCATCCTTCATTAATTGAATTGAATTAAAAGAAAAAAAAATCTTGTATTATTAATTAATGGTGAGCGTAAATATACTTTGTTTAGTGTGTTTAGAAGAAAGTTTGAAAAAAAAATTTGGGAAATATAATTGTTAGGTCTCGTTAAAACCTATTCATTTGATAATCACCCAACACATTTTCGTGATATCTTTGTTGTATCAGTTGTTTATGAAAGTAGTTATATTTCAGAGATGAACTTAAAATTTGACTGGTATCGAGCAAATTTGGTCCTGGTGCCTTTGGTTTCTATCCATAAGAAGAATATGCAGTACTTCCAAACCAAGTACTAAACCTAAGACACTACATGGATTTAAGTGGGTAGTTTAGTATTTTATTTTTCTTCTTTTTACCTAATTTTATTTTTTTTTATTTGAAATCATTGATCATCAACAAAATTTAAATGAAGGAAGAAGGAACAAGATAAAAGATCTTAAAAGAAAGAAGAAGAAAAGAATTGGTGTTTATGGAATAAAAAGAGTGTATAGATATATCTATATAGATGTTTTAATAGAACACAAATTATTGCAAAATCAACAATAAAAAAATATTAAAAAACATTGAACAATGAATTACCAAAAACTACATATAATTAAGAAGTAATTAATTAGTTACCAAAATTGTAATCCAAAATAAGTTGGGGAAATTCTAATAAATATTTTTAAAAAATAAGTAAAACAATAGCAGGAGCAAAAATCAGAAAAATTCAAAATATATCAAATATAAGAATTGAGAACAGAATCATGATAGAATATTACAAAAATGTGAAACAAAATGTTATGGAAAAAAAAAGTCCAGTTAGGTTTTAGGTAACTTTTAAATAAACAAATATAGAAAATTAATTTTTGTTTGCTGAGTTAGCTGTATAGAAGATACAAATTTGAAAACTGATCTCGGTTAATATTTCTCATTTAATCAATTTTCTGGTACTTCCTAGACTGCTTTGTTATGACTATTTTATACATCTCCTTGTTTTATTCTCCAATTCTTCTTTATGCTCATTTTTTTTTGTTTTTTAATTAGAAGTTGTATCTTAAATTTATTTAAAAATTCTAAGTAACATTGTATGGTTGCGCAAAAAAATAATACTTTATTACACAAAGGTTTTTTTTATTACTTAAAACTTTTATAATGGAACCTGTTATTCCTACATAATCTATAACTATACATTCTTTCTGGAACTCCAACCACGAATTCCAATGGTAGCTAAAAAAACGTCTACCAAATAACGTAAATATAAGTTAGGCTTCCTCATCGTTTTCATTGGCTAAAAAATATCTATATTGCAAAACATAACACTTTTCGAATGAGAATAAAATCTCTGGAAGAAGCCGTTTTCGGAAATTCAGTTATCCCTCAACATAAACGGGCTTGATATCCACGAGTTTTGCTTATCAGCAAATACTAAAGTGCAAAAGAGTTCCACATTTGCAGATTGCATATTTGAAGATTCGTAATTTTAAAACAAAATCCAGTGCATATCGCTACTGTTAGTGCAAAAGGTGGTATTTAAAAATTTAGTGTTTTACAAGAGAGCATAAAAAATAATTATTTCTTTATGGCTTATTAGTATAATTTTATATTTTATTGCCCTCTACTATTTTCCATATCAGTAGACAACTTATATCAATTGCAGACTACATAAAGTCAAAATATTTTTTGACATATATATATATATATATATATATATATATATACACACCATATACATATACATATACATATATACACTGTTAATTGAGCTAAGGACAACGTGTGTGTGTGTGTGTGTGTGTGAATTTTAAAAAAAGAACAAAAAGTGCTATGGATAAATACTTTTTTGCAGAAATTTCAATTAAGTTTTAAGTTCCATCTTACTAAGAAAGAAGTTTTTCATTTGAATTATAAATGTATTTATCCAGTTTTAAACATACTTTTTTATTTTTCAAGTTATATGATATTTTTTATTACCTAAATCGATAGTTTTATAAAAAAACTTGATGTGCAAATACTTTTCATCCCCACTGTATATTTAAGGCGAAGATATATAGATATATAAAACAAAAAAGTTGAAATACCTGAAGTTTTGGACCAAATATAAAGAAGGATAATTTTTATTTAAAGAACATGACAGTATTTACGTCAGAACTAAGGAAAAAAATAATACTCAAAGTTGGATATTAAGATTCATGAAACATTTGAATTCTAAATATAAATGGGAAAAAAAATTCTTTCATGTTTTCTGGCATGTAAATAGAGCAACTGAAATCCTATCATAAACATTATAACCATTGTCAAACTGAAAAAAAAAAAAAAAATGGGATGAGGTAAAGATTGGATGATTGTTTAAAAAAAGATGCTAGGAGTTTTACTATTTTAGAATGGAATTCGTTCGATTAATGCGTAGGTGAAAATTTAAGTTTGGCAGTATTCATTTAAATTTATAAACCATGTTACTTAGAATAGAATATTACTCAATTTTTAATAATCCTTGACAAAAAATTCAGAAAACTTAAAGGAACTGGGAAATGTAAAATAAAACCCTGAATTTAAGTACCTTTCAACACATCCAAAGATCTTCATTTTTCATTTTTTTTTTTACTGTAAAACAAAAATAAAAATTATACAATTAGAAAATGAAGTAAGATTAATCAGGTTTTTAAAAATAAAATAACAAAACTATATTTGATTAAATATGATATTATTATTTTTCAAATGTTGTAAATATTTATTTTTTTATTTTTATTTATAATTTTATTGAAATTTACAACTGTATTACATTAAAAATACAACAGGTAAATGTGACATTGGTAACATGACATGTAAAATATGAAGAGAAACTACCCATTGGTAGAACTCAAATTAAAGTTCTATATTAGAAGATCCCGAGGCCATCTTCTTTTCAGACGCCTCGGAGGGTTATCAGGGATAGAGGAGGAAGCAATGTTTGAAACAAGAGGGTTTGGATGGTTCTGCAGTTTGTTATGGAAGGATAGGTATCTGGATTGGGCCAAATCGGAAATATATGGAACATTAAGGTCTTTATGGATGATTTTGTTTGTGACAAAGTAAGGAGCGTTGAGGATTTTACGAAGGATTTTGGATTGTAACTATTGGATACGAGAGGAATTCGATGGCTTAGTGGAGCCCCAGAGCTCGTTGTAAATATTAAATCTAAGTTTAGTACTGGAGATCAGATATTTGATATTTTATTTGTGGAGGGCTTACTTTGATATCACAAAAAGGTGTCTGAATATAAACATAATTATTGGTGTTAAAGAAAACAGGGATTGCTTGTGGGTATTTTATCATTTATTAATGGGTCTTGGCATCATGAAAGGCTGAGCAATGGAGTTGCCACTTCTCTAAGCAATTTTTTTAGTTTTGTTATTTTCAGGCCAAAAGCTTTATTTTAGGAATATTTGTTTAGTGTGAGTGTGAGTAGTGTACCAAAGTAAAATCAGAACATATTGCAATGGTAATGCATACCGTCCACTACTCGACTTGTCCATTTATGTTTTGATAATAACAAACACAATTTTAAAGTTTAAATAAAAGTTTTTTGCTATTTCTGATATTAGTTTGTACATACCATAAGTTAGCAGTTTCAAAATGGTTATTTATCAATAAAATCACCGCCTTCTGTAATTGTACCAGTCAGTGTTCAGGGATAAATTATGTAATTGTAGTGTTATACTGAACTACTTCTAAAGATTTTCTTTTTTTTTTCTCAGCATTTGCCAGAAAATAGCACCTTATCAGACACATATCATGAACTTAGATGAGGCTAGAAGAAATCTGTAATGTTTATAAATTTTTTAACAAGACTTGTGATCCTAAGTAAAACTATTCTTAGAAAAATCTAAGTCCTTAACAGTTTCCGCCTCCTCTGTGATCAAAACAGTTTTAAAAGTAATCAATAACAAAATCCTCACATTATTAAGTTTTTACAATTGCTCTAGTTCCTCACCTCCAACCTCATATTTTCGGCAACCAAGTTGAGAATTAGAGTAGTAAAATATCAGGCATGTTGTATGGAACAATGTGTCTGGCTCAATAGGGCGTAATGATCCATCAATCAATAAATAGATGTGATCACTACTTACAATAAGGGCCGCTGTCATTCAGAATTCAAAACATTTTAGCCAATTCAAGGTGAACAATTTTTGCTTTACTGTTATTTCTGCTGTAATATGCTGAATTAATTGAACTGATCTGTTGCAGTTCTACATAGTTGACATGATTCATAGATGGCTTTTTCTCATGTATGGGGTATATATGTCTTGACAGCAGTTATCTGGTCCTATATAGCAAAAAAAAAATCTTCAGCTTCAGGAAATATTGTGCTCCTATACAACCTCATTACAAATACATTCTTATCAACTTCAACTGCTTACAGTCTGTGGTGATATATTTCATGGAGCTCTTTGAACTTCCGCACATCGAGCAGGAGTCCTTGATTTACAGGTGGAAAAAATGTTCAGATCGAATATTTAGTATCGTGTGACTAATGTCCAATACCACAATAGTTATGATGATTCTTTATGTTTCATTGGTTCTAAAATAGTTTTGAAGCTATGAATATAATTTACTGATGTTAAATGAGGATAAAAAGTGAAAGTTTTAGAATTCTGAACTTCTGAAATTCTGAACCGAAATGCATATTGATTATATATATCTTTCTGAATTTGAATTCTAACTAAAGATAAATTCATTTTCCATAGTATAACATAACCACAGTTGGAGCAATTTAAGTTGAAATTTAATCCATATAATTCTATCAGATTAAGTAAGTTCCTAAACCATGCAAATTCTTTTTTAATTATCTGTAGTGCTGATATTTTTGGATATTCAAAAGTGGGAGAAGATTCAAAATGTTAATAATGTAATCAAAATGACGTTTAATTGTGAAGATAAATAACGGATCTATTTTGGTCTCAAAGTGAATAAAATGTGTATGAATATACTTTGGTAATTTAAATAATTTTTCAAGAAAGAATCTAAATAGTCTTTCATAACTTACTCCACCCCACATTTATGGTCCATAGCACATCACATCCCTACTAATGGAATTAAATACTTGCAAACCATTTGGGTAGAGCTATGTCTTTGTTTTTCATTAACTGGCACCAAATCAAATTCAAACCCATCTTGGCTTTCTCCAGTTTTTCTACCAGGTGTTTGGACATTGAGAGAGTAGTTGTGAGAACTATTCCTCAGTATTTGTACTGTTGAACTACTTCTATACTTTTAGAGCCCATGAACTATTTTTCTTTACATGATGGCTTACCGCCATTGCGAAAGACCATTATTTTTGATTTTTCGAGGCTTATTATCAAATTCCATTTTTTGTATTTGTCTAGGGAATTTATATTGAAATTTTATAGAATTTATAGAATTATATGTTGCTGGATGTGAAGATAGTAGAGTCCGCAAAAGCTAGGTACTTAATTTTACAATTTTCCTCAACATAAATACAGGCATCTAAATTCCCTTCCAAATCATTTATATATAATGAGAATAGAATCGTACTAAGCAAACAAACTTGCCTTATACCTGATTCCATACTAAATGGTTTAGTCACACCATCCAAACCCTAAACTGAAGCATTAGTATCGCTAAGCAAGCTTTTATTTAAATTAGATGAAAATCCTAGCTGATATAATTTATATATTAGACTATAATGATCCACACTATCAAATCTACAAAAAATGGATAAACTTTTTCTCTTTTCTTCTGTAATTTTACTTTAGTTAGACTCATAATTGAGACTATATTATTGATTGTTGAATATTTTTTTGTAAAACCAGTCTGAGCTTCTTTAATTGTATTTTTATCATCAATCTAGTCCAATCATTTAGCCAAAATCAAGACTGTATATAAGTTGTCAATTTCACTAATACAGGAGATTTTCCTGTAATTAGAAACCAAATTTTTATCCACTTTTCTATATAATGGGAAAATACTGGATTTTTAAATGTTAAAGAGACATATCCCATTTCAAAAACTCTATTAAATGTAGCTAATAAAATATTTAAAAAGGAATTGGGAGCATAATTGTAAAATTCATAAGGGATCTTATCACTTCCTGGTGCCATGTTATTTTTGGAGTTAACCAAAACCGCTTTCAACTCACCAAGAGAGAAGAATCTATCTAAAATAGCATTAGTAATATTAGGTTCAAGGTATAAAATTCTGTTTAAAATTAAAGGAGGATTGTACAGAGTTTTAAAGTGTATTAGCCAATCTTGAAATGATATGTTACTTACAGACCAGTAATTACTTTTTCTAAATACTTTTACAAGTTCCCAAAACTCTTTACTGTTATTAACCTTATTCAGATGCTGGACATAATCTATATAATATTGCTTCCTTTTTAATAAACATAGACTTATAAGTACTATTTGTATTTATATACTGCAATTTATGATGAGGGGATGAGGTTTTTCTAAATAACTTTAAACCAATAAATGATATCTTTCTGGCCTGGAAACATTCCTCATAAAACCATGGATTTTTATATACTGATCTTGGGGAATGATTATAATTAGCAGACCTCTTGATGATTTTTGAGAAAATGTTTATCAAATCTTCTACTGAATGCCCACTTACAGATCTAAACGGCTAACTAAACTATCCACCCTAAATGATAAAATAACTCATGTTGTTTCAACCAATTAATTTTAGGGAGAAGTGGTAAAGTGGACTGTTCAATTACCTTATTTTTAATTTTGAAAGAAGTAATAGTCGGCATGTGGTCCTAAACAATTTGATAATCAACAGTAAAATTTCTTACTATTGATAGCAACTCCATATTTACAATAGCATTGTCTATAACAGAATTTCCAGAGGCTCCCAAATATTTCTATTCTCCTTTTATATTATTTTTCATACAGCCATTTAATATAGCCAAATTAAAATTTTTACAAAGCTCTAATATTCTTTTAGCATTTATATTTAAACAAGAGTCCCTTGAATTCCTCCATAAACATTCAATATTCGTATTAAAATATATATATTTTTTCGACAATACTTCTTGATTTGACATTCTACAATTAAAATCTCCGATCAAACAAACATTTAAATTATGTACCTCAGAGAGGAATTCATATAAGCTATTATAACCCCTTCTTTTAACAGTTTAAATAAACAGGCATATTATAAACTTCATAGTTATCTAAACTTAACATAACTAAATGTTTATTCGAGATTTCACAAAATTTTTATAGTTTTTAAAAGGAATTTTTAAATTTACACCATATAAACTATCGCCTGAGGCTCTACCACATGCAGCATTTCTAATAGCCAGAACCCATATTGTATAAAAATCATTAAATAGATGTTCATACCTTAACTGATCCTTATTATCAACAAATGTCTCGATTAAACATATTACATCAATTTTTTTAATATATTGATAAAAAATTAAATCATCCTTTTTACTTTTTAAGCCACAAATGTTATAAGCTAAAATTTCTATAATTGTGATGAATGCTCAAAATGATTCCTTGAACTCGACAAAACGTTTTCCTTAGATGCATTCTGAGTTATAAGACCAATTGATTTTATCTTGAGCGGATTTTTATCAGTGAGAAAATATTCTGGGGCGAAAATGAAATGACTCTAGTTTGTCTTTGGCTTTTCTTTTACCAGCATTTTCATCATCCGGTGATAAATTTTCATCATTACATTTTTGAAGATCTGGTAGACTTAAAATGGAGTGCAATCCATCAAGGGAATATAGAATCCTTCTAAATTTGATCTTATTTTTACTAATAACAGATTCTTCATCTATTTTTTATACCTTTTTTAAAGCTTCATACAAATCTTTTCTTCTCTTTCTGTCCACTAACTTATGATCGTGAGCTATAGAACAATTAATTTCACTGAGCTTATCCATCTTTTCAAACAAATTCATTTTTTCCCTATGGCTAACAAATGAAACTAAAATTGGCCCATGGAACTGACCACTCCCTAGTCTCCGGCAATATGAAATATTCTTAACAGATAAGTTTGTCTCAGTTCTATTAAATAAAGTTGGTATTGTATCATAAACATCTTCAGGCTCCTCTCTTAGAGGTTCAGGAACTTTACGTATGGTAGTATTATTTTTAATTAGTTCTCATCTGAGATTATTTATTTCTTCCTCCTACTTCTCTATTTTTTTTTTCTATTAAGACCTCTTTAACTTTACTTGCTTGAAGTTCCTCAATTATTTGGGATATTGCTTGTTTTATTTGACCGATATCATTTACAATGGATTCAGTGTTTTTAGTATTTATTTTTATTTCTGTCATGATGTCCTCTAGCGTTACCGAAGGGGCCATTTTATTATAAATTATATTGTTTCTAATGTTTTCTGTTATTAATGGGAGCTCCTCACCAGCTGACGAGATAGGTGGAGGGGATGTCACGCCGACTATGAAGATATCTGATGTATTTTTGACAGGTTGTGGCATGTACCCCCCACTATTACTTATCTACCTGCTGCTTGTGGACCTTATCTAACTTTTGTCTGGAATAAGGAATCTAGATGAAAGTATTTTCACCCTATTATTCTGCAGCCATTTCACGAATTATCACCAAATTGAAATATAGTGTTCCTTAATAGGTATGGTAATCATTAGTCACAATTTTTTTCAAATTATTTCATTTTGAAGTTGTAAAATCGAAACCTATTATGGATCCAAACTGCACTGCTTCACGGCCAAAGCCAGGCATATGATGGAGAATGAACTATGGCATTTAGAGTTAGTTCCTTTATTAATTATTTCTGTTATTTCCACCAGAGTTGGGCATTTACTCGAGTAAATGTCGAGCAGTGACGTCACGAGTGATCACTCTTGGAAGCTTAGCCATGAGTAATTTTGAAAATTACTGGTGAAATATTTTTCCTTCATGAGTAAATCACTCGTGAAAAATGTTATCTCCATGAGTAAATTACTCATGAAAAATTTTAACGCCATGAGTAATTTTGAAAAAAAAAGTTTTTATTTTATTTAACCTAATTTTTTTTTTCACCTTTCCGATTTATTCAATATCGGGGTCGACATATATGTTTCGGGGGGCGCTTTTTATGAAAATGATATCCAATTTGAGATTGGGCCCCCCCGCCCCCGTTTTTTTTTTAACTTTTGGGATTAAATCGATATCAGGGTCGACTTATAGGTTTTGGGGGGCGCTTTTTATGAAAATGATATCCAATTTGAGATTGGCCCCCCCGGCCTCGACTTTTTTTAACTTTTGGGATTAAATCGATATCAGGGTCGACTTATAGGTTTCGGGGGGCGCTTTTTATGAAAATGATATCCAATTTGAGATTGGACCCCCCCGCCCCCGTTTTTTTTAACTTTTGGGATTAAATCGATATCAGGGTCGACTTATAGGTTTTGGGGGGCGCTTTTTATGAAAATGATATCCAATTTGAGATTGGACCCCCCCGCCCCCGTTTTTTTTAACTTTTGGGATTAAATCGATATCAGGGTCGACTTATAGGTTTTGGGGGGCGCTTTTTATGAAAATGATATCCAATTTGAGATTGGACCCCCCCGCCCCCGTTTTTTTTAACTTTTGGGATTAAATCGATATCAGGGTCGACTTATAGGTTTCGGGGGGCGCTTTTTATGAAAATGATATCCAATTTGAGATTGGACCCCCCCGCCCCCGTTTTTTTTTACTTTTGGGATTAAATCGATATCAGGGTCGACTTATAGGTTTTGGGGGGCGCTTTTTATGAAAATGATATCCAATTTGAGATTGGACCCCCCCGCCCCCGTTTTTTTTAACTTTTGGGATTAAATCGATATCAGGGTCGACTTATAGGTTTTGGGGGGCGCTTTTTATGAAAATGATATCCAATTTGAGATTGGCCCCCCCGGCCTCGACTTTTTTTAACTTTTGGGATTAAATCGATATCAGGGTCGACTTATAGGTTTTGGGGGGCGCTTTTTATGAAAATGATATCCAATTTGAGATTGGACCCCCCCGCCCCCGTTTTTTTTTAACTTTTGGGATTAAATCGATATCAGGGTCGAATCTTATGTTTTGGGGGGCGCTTTATATGAAAATCATTTCGGATTTGAGATTGACAGTTTTGGGGCTTCCCCCAAAACATAAGAGTCGACCCTGATATCGATTTAATCCCAAAAGTTAAAAAAAGTCGAGGCCGGGGGGCTCAATCTCAAATTGGATATCATTTTCATAAAAAGCGCCCCCCAAAACCTATAAGTCGACCCTGATATCGATTTAATCCCAAAAGTTAAAAAAAAACGGGGGCGGGGGGCCCAATCTCAAATTGGATATCATTTTCATAAAAAGCGCCCCCCAAAACCTATAAGTCGACCCTGATATCGATTTAATCCCAAAAGTTAAAAAAAAACGGGGGCGGGGGGCCCAATCTCAAATTGGATATCATTTTCATAAAAAGCGCCCCCCAAAACCTATAAGTCGACCCTGATATCGATTTAATCCCAAAAGTTAAAAAAAAACGGGGGCGGGGGGCCCAATCTCAAATTGGATATCATTTTCATAAAAAGCGCCCCCCAAAACCTATAAGTCGACCCTGATATCGATTTAATCCCAAAAGTTAAAAAAAAACGGGGGCGGGGGGGTCCAATCTCAAATTGGATATCATTTTCATAAAAAGCGCCCCCCAAAACCTATAAGTCGACCCTGATATCGATTTAATCCCAAAAGTTAAAAAAAAACGGGGGCGGGGGGGCCCAATCTCAAATTGGATATCATTTTCATAAAAAGCGCCCCCCGAAACCTATAAGTCGACCCTGATATCGATTTAATCCCAAAAGTTAAAAAAAAACGGGGGCGGGGGGTCCAATCTCAAATTGGATATCATTTTCATAAAAAGCGCCCCCCAAAACCTATAAGTCGACCCTGATATCGATTTAATCCCAAAAGTTAAAAAAAAACGGGGGCGGGGGGGCCCAATCTCAAATTGGATATCATTTTCATAAAAAGCGCCCCCCGAAACATATATGTCGACCCCGATATTGAATAAATCGGAAAGGTGAAAAAAAAAATTAGGTTAAATAAAATAAAAACATTTTTTTTTCAAAATTACTCATGGCGTTAAAATTTTTCATGAGTAATTTACTCATGGAGATAACATTTTTCACGAGTGATTTACTCATGAAGGAAAAATATTTCACGAGTAATTTTCAAAATTACTCATGGCTAAGCTTCCAAGAGTGATCACTCGTGACGTCACTGCTCGACATTTACTCGAGTAAATGCCCAACACTGATTTCCACTACCACGATTCTTAGTGCAGGTGGTTAGATTGTAAAATAGAAAAATCATGTTTTTTGACTTAGTTCCTACCATCACTAGATGGTTTAATTATAAAATCCTACAAAAGAAAAAAAAAAACTAGATAAGGAAAAATCTATTGATAAAAGAGACGTGAATAAAAATAAATTATATTGTTTAAAATAAATAAGTAATTTATACAGTGGCAAGGCATGAAAATATATGGGGAACATTATAATAAGTAGTACGTCTTTAAGAAGTTTTATAATAGGATAATAGTCTGTGTGATAATACATGGAAATATTTGATAAATTAGACTAGCATATGTAAGTGACAAAAAATAATTAGATTATTTTAACTATTACTTACCATAAATAATATTACTTTTGATAATATTTCACTCTTCGCTCTATCTCACTCAATTCAACCACCATTCACTTTCCAGCATCTAGTTGTTTGTAGATAACATATTTTCTCCTTTCACTTCCAAGCCAATATGCCCAGCCCGGCTGCCATCCTGTCTTCCCCCAGTCCTGACGAAGATCAGATATCCAGGCCGAAACTTTGTCTAAAAATAATATGAAAATTTAAAAAGAAGGCTCAAGTTACATGTGAGGAAAAAGGTAACATAAAGGTAACATAACATTTTATTTAATAAGAAAATAATAAAATAGGAGGATTTTAAAAATGAAGAGCTTTACTTATTTTATTTGTACAATATTTGATGACCAGAATATAATCATGAATTAATCGTTTAAAAAAGGTTGATGGCACATGGTCCTCCTCCTTTCCCTCTCCAAGCTATTTTATTGCTTTCTTCTTCTTAAAAACATTAGAAATAAAAGTACCGTAGATCATACATAATTACACTTGCTACAGTTTGTTCCATGTATTCCCTTTGTCTCCTGGTTCGAAACTTTTCAATGCGAAAATTCATAACCTCTTCGAAATGTGCCCCCCTCAAAAATTCAAAATATGCCTACCTTAAAAATTTTAATGGCACCCCTGTTAAGTTTTACCCTGATCTTAGTAAGGAACACTGGCTGTACCATTTCTAATCTTTTTTAATTCTGCCGTGTATTTAGAATTGTCAAAAAACAGGTAAGTTGCAGGTGTTTTTGACTTATTTATTTTATTATTAATTTCCTCAAAAATTATATATTTTTTTATAATGATCTACAGCAGAGAGGTCCAACCTATGTATGGCCTACTGGCCACAGACCTGTAAGCACCTTCAATCCAGCCCATGAAAGTTTCTTTGATTACATGGTAATATTTTAAAAACAATTTAAAAATAATATATTTAGTAAATCATTTATGAGCCAACAAGTTTGGAGACTCCTTCTCTAAAAAGTTAATACAATTCATTAAAAATTGGAAAAATAAGACTGAAAATGTGAAGTTAAGCCAGTAAAGTCACTTGGCCTATTAATAATCAATTTTGCACTCTCTCATCAGTTTATTTCATGGCATTATTTCCTATTTAAAGGAAAATTATATTTTGGTTTTGTATTGATCGTTTGGGTTTTTTTTCTTTACAACCAGGTTATTCTTTACGTTATCAGTAGCTTATTGATTTTTCCCCTCCCATTTCCCAAATTTTGTTATTGCTTCCAGTGACAGGTGATTTATGATAACAATAATGATGATGTACCTGGGAACAGCTTCAAGCTACGGTTGATACATTTTTCAAATTTTTAGGCATTTTGGTAAGTTAGGCTATACTCTAAAAGTAAAAGAAACAGTTTTTATATTAGCCCACTATAAACAATAGAACAAATAGTTGTTTTTAAATATACATGATTAGGTTTTTCTTTAACTTTCTTGCCAACACCGAAACTTAGTGAGGGGATATATATGTTACCTTCTCCTGTCCCATGGGGACAGATAAGTTTCAAAAAATCTTTATTTCAACCCTCATTAAGACTTAAAAATGATGAAAAGTTTTATTTTATTCATTTCAATTGTGGCCAAGATTAGGGTTAACATCCAATTCATTAGTGAAAGGTTATTTATTTATTGAAATTTACAACTGTATTAAATAAATACAACCAGTAAATATGCACAAATTAGAAATAATGGCATGAACAGATTTGTCGAGATAAATCCAGTGGCAGCACTGCTTAAATAATTCTAGGTAAGAAGATCATGAGGCCACCTTCTTTTCAGATGCCTAGGATGATTATTAGGAATCGAGGTAGTAGCATGGCTGGAAACAAGTGGATTCAGGTGGGACTGGAGTTTATCATGAAAAGATATCTGACTAGGGCTAAATCTGTGACATAAATGAAAGGTTGAAAGTGAAAAAAATAGTTTTAGTCCCAAAAGTTTTTCTTACTTTCTGTTTCATGACATCTGTAGTATGTATCAGTTTGTCAAAATTAATAGAGAAGGACAGGAATTCAATGTTCTCATAATGCTAACCCCATACAATCTTATACTTCTATACCAGAATATTTACTTTAGCAATATTTTATTCCTTTAAAACTTTGTAGAATGAGGATGTCCAAAACATTTTAGCTTTGTATTCATAAGTAAATATTTTTTACTAATGTAATATTACCCAATAAAGAATAAAACTTTGTGTTAAAAAACATATAATAACAGTTTATTGGGTATCGGGTTATCATGATGTAAAAGAATTTCTTTCAAAAGCAGTTTAATCATAAGGAAATTTATCATAAACTAGTTAAGTTTAATCATAAATATATGTTATCGAAAGAAATTATTTCTCCTCATGATAATATCTATGTCTCAATTCATAATGATATATTTTTCATTTATGTTAGTATTTCATTATTCAATCATTATTTGTTAAAAAAAATTTTTTTTTGAGATATATTATTTCATTATAGGTGTGTTATTTTCCAATGTTTGGTTTTTTGTCCTATTTATCTCTTGAATCTCATTCCTAAGCCCTGTATTTTACAATTATTCTTAGAATGTTGTCAACTAATTCTTGAGGAACTAATTCTTGAGTTAACTCAACTAATTGTTGAGGAAAATTGCTTTATTATCTCTTGTTTAGTAATTATACAAATGAGATGTGAATTATATTAATGTAAATAGTTTATGATGTACTGAAAAATATAACAATAAAAGTGGCAACACTGATCAGACCAATGAGAGCTTGGGCATGTTTGACCATTAGAGCAATATTGAATCTCGACTGTTTTTTTTTTTAAAACCCCATGATATAAAACATATAACATATAATTTATGATTATAAACTATTCAAGAGACTATAAATTAAAATAATAAAAAGTATAATTATCTAAAATGGAAATTACCTGAAAGGGAACAAAGTTCATTTTCTAAATTCAAGAAAGACTTACTTAATTAGAATTATTAACTTTAACAAACTTACTAAGGATGGGCTAGTGTAGGTAATTTCTTGTTGGCTTCGTTAAGTTAATATTTTTTGTTTTTTTTTCATTGCACAACTTTTCATTTCAAAACTTCATATTCCTATCTTCCTGGAAAACTGCCCTAGTCCAACCTTTAAATAAAACTACAAATCCTTTCTCACCCCATGACTTAAGTCCCATTTTTATCCTTTCCAATCTTTCAAAGCCGCTGGAACACCTCGTCCAAAATCAACTTTCTAAATTCCTAGAAGAAAATTCTCTAAACAACCTTCTCCAATCTGGCTTTCGTTCTGGTTACTCAACCCAATCTGTTTTCATAAAAATAACCCATGAACTCCATTGAACACCAAAATCTTACTATCCTCATTCTCCTACATTTCTCCAAAGCTTGACCACAGCATCCTCCCTACTAAACTGCAACATCTTCTTTTATCCAACAGTGTCCTGCGATGGTTCAAATTCTTCCTTTCAAATAGATCCTAGTATGTAGTCGTCCAACACACTTCCCCTCTCCTGCAGCGTCCCTCAGGGTTCTTCCCTACCTCCTACTCTGTTTGCTATTTACATTAATGGACAGGGAATGACATTCCTCTTCTGATCCATCACTCCTAATAGCACATCTATGCAGATGATTTCTAAATATACCTGTCCTTCCCTCCTTCTGACCTATTAGCCCTCCTCCTGGTTAGATGCGAACAAGTTGAAGTTGAATGCTGAAAAGACCGAAGCAATTTAAATAGGCTATAGTCACCTGCTTAAAACTGTTCCTAACATACCAACCCTGTTTCTACATGATAATTCCATCAAATTCCATTCCACCATTAAGAATCTTGTAATAATCTTTGATCAAATTCTTTCCTGGAAAAACCATACGATATTTTCCCCTATGTCTTTTCCATTTTAAAACGACTAAATTACCTCCGCCCCCTATTTCGATTTGAAACCCGTAAACTCCTAATTATTTTCTTAATATTTTCTCCCTTTGAATTTTGCTGTACGGTATATGGGGGCATCTCCGGGGATCTCGAGGCAAAACTAAAATATTTGATAAACTGCCTTGTATGATTCATCTTCAGGATCCCAAGGGACACCTATGTGTCCCGTTATTATGAAGAGCTGAAATGTCTTTATCCTTCCTACTGACGGAAGTATTTCATTCCATCCTTCCTATCTCATATGCATACATGTACATATACATACATACACTCAAAACTTGTATACACTAGATGCCAACAATTAACCAGTATACACTGTTATTCACTTCGAATAAAATTCAATTCTTAAAATGAAATTTTACGAAGGCAGATCCTCTGTTTATGCTGTAAGGAGGTATTGGAAAAGGAGGTATTTGAAAGATAATAGAGGAGAAGCATGTCGGTCGGATGTTAGATGGTAAGGAATTCCAGAGGGTAACGGAGAAGGAACATTCATAGGCTTTAGTTCTATTAGACGGAATATAGAAGTCAGAGACATGGAATCTTGTTTTCTTTGAGTGGACTGAGGGTTTGGGCTGAAGGAGAGGGTAGATGTAGGAAGGGTGCTGGGAGTTGATCATGTAGTACAAGAAATTTCCAAGGAAATATTGCTGGTGGAAGGAGAGGAAAAGCCACTTCTACTCACTGTACCGTCTTGAAGTACCAAAAACAGATCTTAATAGACAGTTCAAGATTTTATTCAGTCAATCCCCGAGCACAATTGAGAGGCCACCATACACCACATTTATTCAATAATTTCCATCAATATTAAGGTGGATCATTTTCACTGTGAGCCACTGTATGCAAGGAATTTATGTTTATATTAGGTATTATTTTTTATTTATTTTTTTTACATCTCTCTGATCTTCAGTATACCTCTCATAATTCAGTAAAATATAACTGAATCTTATGAATTACCTATAAAATTATAATTGTTTGTGTAATTACATTTAATAGTACTTAAAAAATAACTCTATTTAATTTATAGTCATTATAGTTAGCTTCTTTCTTTTTTTTCAAGATTTCATATTAAGAGAGGGAAAGAGGAAGGAGGGGCTTCAGCCCAATAGCTTTTTTTTTTATATATATATA